CCCCGAGACAGGGTTTCTCTGTGGCTTTGGAGGCTGTCCTGGAACTAGCTCTTGTTAACCAGGCTGGCTCGAATTCACAGAGATCCACCTGCCTCTGCCTCCCGAGTGCTGGGATTAAAGGCGTGTGCCACCACCGCCCGGCTGCCAAAGGGGTCTTTTGATTTCTGGATTTTAATACTTTGATAGCTGGATCTTGGTAGTCAGCCTCAGGAGGAGGAAGTGGTCAGTTAACTAAGGGAATAGACCTTGGTGACTAGCTTTAGGAATGTAATCTAACAATTTTTAGCAAGGCAGAGGGAATGGGGGAGAAGGGCAAGGCCTGCCAGAGTAGTGTTTGCTATGCTTGGGCTGGCTAGTGTCCCTTCAATACCCATTCAGCCTCATCAATTACTTTCATTTAATCATTTTTTCAGTCTCCGTAGAGACTGTCAAAAATTGCCAATGGGGACTATTTCAAGTCGTCATAGCAGGGTATTGGGAAAAGTAATCTTGTCTCGGATAAACCTCATTGGCTATGATACTGCCACTGTGCAAAGCATCTTTAAAGTTTTTTTAAAATATTTAATTTGCTTATGTCTTAGACAGGGTCTTGCTGTGTAGCCCTGGCTTGCCTAGAATTTCTTATGTAGACCAAGCTAGCCTCAGACTCATAGATATTTACCTGCCTCTGCTTCCTGAGTGCTGGGATTTAAGGATTGAAGTTGTTATTTCAGTCTTTTTCTGATGTTGGCTTGTAACAATAAGTCTTTCTGCCAGGCCGCCCAAGTTCTGCCCGCCACCACGTTAAGGTCCCAAGTAACACATAGAAACTTTTATTAGGTACAAATGCTGCTTGGCCAATGACTAGGATTTCTCATCTGCTAGCTCAGTCTTAATTATCATAAATCTAAGACTTATTGGATGCCAGCGGAAGCATCCTGTCTTCCTGGGCTCACCTGGTGACTCTGAGCTTTTTCCTACCTTTCCCAGAATCCCTCTTGACTTCTAGTCCCACCTATCATATACACAGAGGGACCTCCCCCATCATTGGCTTTCCCAACTTGTTGGTCATTGAGGTTGGAATTTTTCTGTATAATATGCCTGAACCTAAAGTTCACCTCCAAATAAAGTGTCCCTCTGGTAGGAAAATGGAGCTATATAACCAAGTAGATCTGTACTATGAAGCTAGGGATGGGGAAAGCTATAGCCCCTGGCTAAAAACAGAAGCCCTTTACTGAGATTTTCTTTATTTCCTTCAAAATATGTTTTTATTTATGTGTATGTATGCATGTGTGTGATAATGTACACGTGTGTGCATGTACCTAAGGAGACCAGCAGAGGATGTCAGATCTCAGGGAGCTGGAGTTCTAGGCAGTCATGAGCCACCCGGCAGGGATACTGAGAACTGAACTCAGGTCCTCTGAATGGAATAGCCACTGTTTGTACCTGCTGAGCCATCTTACCTGCAACTCCTTTAGACAGTTTATTTTACTTTTTTTGTTTTTTAGATAAGTTGTTTTATAGCCTAGGCTGACCTGTGTAGTAGAAGTCCTTGAACCTGCAATCTTTCTGCCACCCCCTGCTAAGTGCTGGGATTATAGGGGTCAGTATGCTAGGCAACTCTGCCAACTGAGCTACATCCCCAGCCTAAGATTCAGTAGATTTTCTTAAATATATATGCTGTACATTTTGTTATATGCCTTTTGTCGTTTTCCAGACTTCAAAAGGTCAATTTTGACAACATTGTTAATTTGTCATTGATTCTGTGAAAGTCCTGCACACTGTCCCTTCAATGATTTCTGAAGCACTGTTAATTTTTCAACTTTTTTTTTTTTTTTTTTTAAAACATGGTTGACTTCAGTATGTCTGTTCACTATACCCTCAAACTACCGAGCTTAAGAAATCCTTTTACCCCAAGCTTTTGATTAGTTAGGACCTTAAGTACATGCTATGTACCTACTTTTAAATTAAAAAAATATTTAAAAATATTTTACATGTATGGGAATTTTGCTTGCATGTATGTCTATGCATCATGTATGTGCATAGTGCCTTCAGAGGCCAGAAGAGGGTGTCAGATCTTCTGGGACTGGAGTTTCAGATAGTTGTAAGCTACCATGTGGGTGCTGGGATCCTAATACCATGTCCTCTGGAAGAGCAGACAGTGCTCTTAACTGCTGAACCATCTGGTCAACTCATTAATTGCTTTTTTTTTTTTTTTTTTTTGGACAAAGGTGCAAATGTAATTTAATGGAGAACAAATAACATTTTTAGTCTGTTTTTTCTTCTTTCTAATTATGTTTTAGATTTATTTTAAGTGGGTATTTTTTTCTGCATGTATATCTGTGTACCATGTGTGTATCTGGTGCCCGAAGACATCAGAAGAGAGCATTAGATTCCTTAGAATTGGAACTGTGGATGGCTATGAACCATAAGGTGGGTGTTGGGAACTGAACTTAAGTTTTCTGCAAGAGCAACTAGTACTCTTAACCACTGAGCCATCTCTCCAGCCCCAAATAATATTTTTCTTAGTTGTCCTAATTGGAGATTCATGTGAAATGATTGTGAATCTTGGCCCATAGTAGGCTGCATATAGAATTTATCCAAAATAAGCCGGGCAATGGTGTCCCACACCTTTAATCCCAGCACTCTGGAGTCAGAGTTAGGCCGAGCTCTGTGAGTTAGAGGCCAGCCTGGTCTACAAAGTGAGTTCCAGGACAGCCAGGACTACACATAAAGAAACTCTGTCTCAAAAAAACAAAATAAAACAAAAAACACAAACAAAAAAAAAAAACCAAACAACAAAAAAAATCAGAGTTTATCCAAAATAGATCATAGCTAAATATAAACATTGAAAGACTTATATATAAACAGGACAGAACCTTTGCAAATCATATACTTGACTAAAAATTACATCTTGCTTAAATAAGGAATACTTAGAACTGAACAGTAAGGAAATAAATGTGTAAATGGGCAAATGTTAGTAGACATTTTCTCAGAGAGAATGTGTGGATGGATGGCAGTTGAGAGGTTCAACATAATTAGCCATTAGAGAAATGCAAATTAAAATTACAGCGAGAAGCTACATCTTTCTAGCTGTGGAAAACAAAAAAAGATAATAGTAATTACAAATTGGCAGCTCTTGAGGAAACTTGCTCATGGATTAGTTTTGTTTGGCATGTACAATATTAGCCAAGTGGTATATTGAACTAGCATTTATTTCACTCACAGCAAGAAATGCCTTTAATTTAGTATCAAGTGTACCTGATAGACAAGGAATATGGCTTCCAGTTTGCTATAGTCTCTATTTCTTTTTCTTACCTGAGAGTGAAGCCAAATGTTTGTTGCTATGCCACTGTGTTTGTGCCTTTGCTTTTCTTAACTCATCTATTTTTTTTCATGTTACAGTAGGAATCTCATGATAACAGACTAAATTTAAAAGTTATAAAAATACAAAATATGTCTAATATGCCACCCATTAATGTTATTATTCTCTTAGTGTCTTCACTGGCTACTCTGGCATGGCGCTGATACCACACAGGGAACTACAAGAGGATGGACAGCGGCTCACATAGCTGCAATCCGGGGTCAAGATGCCTGTATGCAGGTAATGCTTATGGTTACTGTTTTTTTCTTTTCAATTCAGTGAGTTCAGCTACTTTACCATAGCTCTGTTGGAATTCTGCCATTATTCTATTCTATTTGATCCAACACATGCTGTTAAGAAGGAATGACTGATACAAGCTAGCCACATAAATGATATGTGGCTGGAGATTCTTTAGTCTCTGAAGGAGCTGGGTTATCTTCAGTGATGTCACAGTCATGCCCAGAGTGTCTTCGTTGTATGGTGCAGATGATTGTATTGTGCCAATGTAAGTCTGTTCAAATCTTAGCTCTTAAAGTGATGGGTGTTAGCTTGAGCAGGTAGGCAATAAGAGGAAAGAGAAAATACAATAGTGACTTTTGGGGAAATTGGGTCAAGTGGAGCTTTACCTGATGAGTTTCTTCCAACAAGCATTAAAGTGCTTAAGCCATTCCTTGCACCTTGATTCCCTTCTCTGTCCCACACTGGTCTCTTCCTTCTTAGAGTTTTTATGGGACGTATTTTTGGTTCTATGCTGCATGCTTGTTCCTCATCAAAGTCTTTTTTGTGTAGTTGATTATCTATCCCTAAGAATGTCCTGATTCCCTAGGTTGATAAGATTTATTATTGTTGTTATTATGATCCTTAAAGCACAGTAAGTACTCAGTATGTCATTTTTGACTGTTATTGGCTTGTTAGATTAGGCAAGGTCATGAAGATTATTCTTTTTAAAACCCTTGGTAGGAATTATGACTGAGTAATGCTTTGTTAAGGTACTGGTAAATAAAGACTGACTAAAAAAGGAAATGCTGAGTGAGAAAGAAATAATTAAGAAATACTGACTAGAAGGGAGTTGGGGGTGTAGCCACATGACACCATGCAGGGGTAGCATGGTCAAGGCTCTGGGTCCAATCCTCAGTGCCAAAAAAGAAAAAGGTACTAAAAGTTCATTTGTAAAAATAGATTTTAATTTAAAAAAATATTATTATTATTATTATTTTATGCACATTGGTGTTTTGCTATCAGTGTCGGGTCCCCTGGAACTGGAGTTAGAGGCAGTTATGAACTACCATGGGGGTGCTGAGACTTGAATCCAGGTCCTCTGGAAGAGTAGTCAGTGCTCTTAACTGCTGAGCCTTCTTTCCAGCCCCCTAGATTTTAATTTTTGGAGCTGTTGTAGGTTCAGCAAAGTTGAGCAGAAGGTACACAGATTTCAAATTGTTAGATTGATTTCCCAGCCAGTGACTCTTCAGTGGCACAGCATAATCACCTGATACCCATAGTTTACACTGGGGTTCACTCTTGGTATTGTACAGACTGCATTCAAACAGATTTATAACTACACAGTTCTTGGCTTATTTGCTTATTTTAGTGATGATGTCTTGATGTGTAAGGTATGCTGGGCTTGAACTTGTGAGCCTCCTGCCTCATCCTTCTAAGTTCTAGGGTTATGGCACCAATATACCTGATGATTACTAATTATTTTTCATTCTTCTCTTATATATTACATCCTGACTGCATTCCCCCATTTCCCTCTCCTTCCCCAGATCCACCCTCCATCTCCCCTCAGACAAGAGCTGGCCTCCCAGAGACATCAACCAAACATGGCATAATAAGCTACAGTAAGAGCAGGCACATGCCATCACATCAAGGCAACCCAGCAGGAGGAATAGGGTTCCACAAGCAGGCAAAGGAGTCAGAGATAGCCCCTGCTCCCACTGTTAGGAACCCTACAAGAACACTGAGCTATTCAGCCATAATCTATATGCAGAGGACATAGGTCAGACCCTTAAGGCTCCTTGATCTCTTCGAGCTCCCATGAGTCCCAGTCAGTTGATTTGGGATCATTAATTTCTTTTAGTGCTCAGTATTTCATTGTCTGAATATTTGTTAGTGTTCACCCACTCAAGGGTATTTTCATTGTTTCCAATCCTGGCAATATGAGTAAAGCTTATAAATATTCACTTTTAGATTTTTGTAAGTTTTCAGTTTTTTATTAGGTATTTACCTAAATACCAAGGAGTGTATGATTGTTGGATTATGGTGAAATTATGCTTAGCTTTGTAAGAGACACTGCCCTACCGTCTTCCAAAATATTCAGCCTATGACTCCTCATCCTTGCTAGCTTTTGTGCCGTCAGTGTTGTGGACTTTGGCCATTCTAATAAGTAGATAATGACTTTTTTTTTTTTTTTTTTTTTTCGAGACAGGGTTTCTCAGTGGCTTTGGAGGCTGTCCTGGAACTAGCTCTTGTAGACCAGGCTGGTCTCGAACTCACAGAGATCCTCCTGCCTCTGCCTCCCAAGTGCTGGGATTAAAGGCGTGTGCCACCAACGCCTGGCGATAATGACATTTTATTGTTGTTTAAATTTGCACTTCTCTGGTGGCCTTTGATGTGGAGAAGCTTTTCATATGGTTATCATCTTTGGTCAGTGTCTGATCTTAACATTCATTGGTAGTATAGGAGACTGATCTCAGAGTCTGCTATAGTTAAGAAATTTACCACTGAGCTACATCTACAGCTCTGGTCGATGTTAAAATAGAATTTTTTCTTATTGTTTAAGAATTTGTTTTGTGTTTTGAATAATAGTCCTTTATTGAATATATTCTCTGAACTGTCTTATTTATTCTCTTTCCAGTGTCTTTAGTATCATGGTGTTTAATTTCAATGAAGCCTAGTCTTATCAGTTCTTTCTTTCATGAATTATACATTTGGTATTGTATCTAAAGAACTGTAGTCCAGTCCCCAGTCATCTAGATTTTTCCTCTTTGAGACAGGGTCTCTCTATATAGCCCTGGCTATCATGGAACTTTAAAAGCTGTTTGTTGATATCCGTATCACTGGGTTTTCATTGGTACCGATAGATTTTTGAAATTAATTCTTTGTCTATTACACAGGAAGAAACCATGTAGTCAGTGACCTATATGGAAATTGGCTCAGTTTCACATTTGGATGAAACCATCTTAGAAGATTGACCAGGAACTTAAGTTAGCCAATTAAGGTCCTTCAGGCGATTAACTTTAACAAGAAGACCTCAACCCCTTTTTAGGGTTACCTAAGGAATGTATCATATTTTGCCTGTAGATCATATGTAGTTTTGTTATAGATACATGAATTGCTTACCTTTACTCTATCAGAATTCATAGTTTAACATCTGTACTCATGCACACCTATTCCCATTTCTGTTTCTAGGCTCTTATAATCAATGGAGCCAACCTGGCAGCTCAAGATGATCGTGGATGCACTCCTATACATCTCGCTGCCACTCATGGACACTCTTTTACTTTACAAATAATGCTGCGAAGTGGAGTGGTGAGGGGTTCCTCTTAATTAGTTAGTGGTAGTATGTGATCATGTAGGTAGACTGGTATTTGGTAGTCTGGTTATCTGGTCCTGACTTTTAAAATCCTTCCTATGTCTTGGGGGAAGTAATTTTTTTTCCTTTAGCTTTTCTATCTTTAAACATGGATTCTGTAATTAAGACAAATCTCCCATCTCTCCCCCAAATGAACAGTAATACAAAATATTTCAGAGGTTATGTATTTGGCTGCTGGTTCAGAGCTTAACTGGGAAGACTCTGAAACTTTTTAAACAAATCTTCACCAGATATTATGTCTTTAAGAATTTGCATGTATCTACAAAATGCTTTAAAAACTTCTTTATTTCATACACCAGTTTAGGAAGTGATTTATTTCTTCAGGTTTGAATTTATTTATTCTAATGTTTATCTGTTATTTTATAAAAATATTTTAAAACTATGTATATGTGCATGCAGATATGTGCATATGAGTATAGGTGCCTGCAGAGGCCAAAGGCCCCAGATTCTCACTGGAATAGTTACAGGCTAATGTGAGCCGGCTCACACAGGTCCTCTCTATGTTTAACTGCTGAGCCACCTCCCTAGTTTCCTAATATTTATTTTTGATAGCACTCAGTAGTTGTATAACTTTTTAAAGAACAGAGTTTTTACTGAGCGTGATGGCTTGTACCTGTAATCTCTGCATTTGGTAGGTTGAGACAAAAGGATTGCAAGCCTGAGGGCAGCCTGGGCTACAGTGTGAGACCTTGTTTCAACCTCCCCACAGAGAGAGAGGTGGGGAGGAAACACACTGCCAATATAGAGGACATAGTGAGATTGTTTTCTAGGAGTAAAAACATTAAACATTTTTTCTTTTGATTAATTCTTTATGTTCTCAATGATAAGACATCATCTAAACCCATCCCTATCCTTTTTATTTTATAAATTAGGACTGTGAAACAATTACTTAGTTTCTTTGAAAACGTTGTTTCATGTGGACTGGTAGTTTTCTTTTTAAAAGGCTGTTTTATTACAGTTCACTGAAAACTTCTTTGCTTATATGTTCAGTTTAGTGCTGCAGTCAATTTTTTATCTTTTTAAATGTTTGCTGTATAATTTTAAGAATAGCTTCTAATTTTCAATTGTCAGACCAAGCTTCTAGATTTATTGCTTTCCATATAAAATAGCAAGAAACTGAGCTTTTGTGAATTTTACCTCTAGGATCCCAGTGTGACTGACAGGAGAGAGTGGAGACCGGTGCATTATGCATCTTTTCATGGGCGCCTGGGCTGTTTGCAGCTTCTTGTCAAATGGGGGTGTGGCATAGAAGATGTGGACAACAATGGAAACCTTCCCGGTATTGAACTAAAGCAAACATTTTAGTTTTTCATTGATAAAATATTTAAATTCTTGATCATATTTAAGAATTTTAAACTCCCCCACCATTCTGTAATTTCTTCATTAAGCTTAAATAGATCAGCTGATATGAACTATTTACATGTCTGTGCTACATACCCATCATGATTTCTTTTCTCGAGTTATCCCAGCAGTAGAAAAACTGGCTCTTCCTTCTCTTTTGCCCCTCCCTCCCCTCCTTTCTCAGTATTCATGTGGGATCCAGCTGAGAGCCTTATATAAATTAAACAGGTGCCTGGTCACAGACAGCTATTTTACTATTTAGGTAGTTCAGAGGACACACATATGTATGAGCTGGTTTGTTAATTGCAGTTTAGGTTTAACTTGAAACAAACTGGCTAGTTGACATATAGATTCTAAACACCCTTTCTTCTTTGTGAAGTGGTATTGAAAATTCAGAAAATAGGAGTAAAAATGATCCTCGAGAAATGGTTGGAGAAATGGCTCAGCAGTTAAAGTAATTTGCTGCTTTTCCAGGGGATCTTAGTTTAATTTCCAGCATCTACATCAGATGGTTCACAACTGACTATAACTCCAACTCCAGGGGACCTGATACCCTCATCTGGACTCCATGAGGTCACTTGCACTTACCTGTACACATATCCACATATCCACATGATTTTTGAAAAAGATCCTTTAATTATATCTTAAAAGAATCTTAAGCACTTCTATGAAAGGGAAATCTAGGCAGGTAACATGAGCGAGTCTGATCCAATTATCCAATTGCTTTGCTGTTTGGAACATGTCTGGATCTCGTGGATCCACGATTATTTGCCTTGGTATGTTGGATGCCGTCTTTTCCCTCTCTTTCTTCTCTGTCTTTGGACCTTTACTACCTGGGATTTCCTTTTTTTTTTTTTTTTTTTTTTGTTTTTTTGAACCAGGTTTTCTCTTTGTTGTTTTTGGGCCT